AAACAATCTGCACATTTAACCTTCGACGTCACTCGAGCAGACATCCCTAATTGTTGGGTTGCCGGTTAGGGAAACCTTACATTTTTTGTCCTGTATGTGCTACATGGGTGTTTTTCAGGGAATCCAGTATTTTTCTAGTAAGATTGGATGTTTCTATTCTAATAAATATATCAAAATTGCCATAATTTTATTTGAAGTAACCACACGATAAATACTTTTGTGGGGAAAGTAACTTTATTAGTCCAGCAGTCAAACCCCAGTTTAAGCCTTAACATGGGAATATAGTCCACATAATGATTTTTGATGGATTATATGTCTTCAATATGTGTAGATTCAGAATATGGATGATAACAGCTTGACACTGTACAGGTCACAATTTTTATCCACTTTTGACGAATCTTGAAATATAGGTCTATCTCCCAAAGATCTTGGTTCCGTTCGATATTGGCATGTATTGGACCATAACTTCATGGACTATGGCCCTGATTGTATGAAAAATCACGTTTTTAGCTTGTGCATGGACACTCTAGACGCCGCAATTTTTATCTGATTTTGAAGAAACTTGATATACATGCTCATAACCCAAAGATCTTGGTAACTTTCGATATTTGTGCATATCGGATCGTAACTTCCTGAATTATGGCCCCCGATTATACAAAAAATCTTGTTTTTAGCTTGTGGTCCCTCTAGAGGTCACAATTATTATCCGATTTAAAAACAGGTTTGAATATCATATAACCGTTACACCATAATGACGATTGTGTATGAATTTCAAGAAAATCGGACTAAAACTGCCAGACAAAATGACCGCTTCTCATACGCAAATAGTGTAAAAGTATGGTATGTCAAGGTTGTGGACCATCTACAGAGGCGTAGCCATGAAATATATATTGGGGGGGTCCGCAAATGAAATTATATAAAATGTTGACAATCTGTGACGCCAGAGGCAGCCAATGTAGTGCGATAGGGAGTGTGTGGGAGGGTGGCACCCCCATGTTAATTAATCCTAATAATTGTTGTAAATGAATAGGAGTTAGGGACTGCTATGTAAATTTTTTGGTTGGTCCAAGTATATTCAGACCCCCCCCCCCCCCCCCCCGAAAAAGAATTGGGGGGGGGGGTCGCCCCCCCCCCCCCATGTGTGACACCCATGACCCTCTAGAAGTCACAATTTTGATCAATTTTGATGAAACTTGAAATACATGTTTATAACCCCAAGATCTTGGTTTCTTTCGATATTCGCGCATATCAGATGGTAATGTCCTGAATTATGGTCCTTGATTGTACGAAAAATCACGTTTTTAGCTTGTGGGCCTTCTAGAGGTCACGATTTTTATCCGATTTAAAGAATATTTGAATATATCACCATTACACCTTATTGATTGTTGACTTTGAATTTCAGAAAAATTGGACCAAAACTGCCGGACATAATGGCCGCCCCTCGTTCGCAAATAATGTAAAAATATGGTATATCAAGGTTGTGGACCCTCTAAGAGGTCATAATTTTAATCTGATTTTGATGAAACTTGAAATATATCTTTGTAACCCAAAATTATGGCCCTTGATTGTACGAAAAATCGCTTTTTGTTTAGCTTGTTCTCTATCCATCTCTTGCAAAATGTGGGTGTATCCTGCCTGGCAGCCGCTGGTTTTTCCTGAGGCGAAGCTGCTGTGTGGGTGTATTTCCACGCTTTGCAAGGTTATCTTTAAATAAAAGTATCTCATTCTTCTGGCACAATTGATGTCTGATATGTATTATTAATTGAGTATTGAGACAAAGAGTTGTTCTCATGTAAGACTTCACCTTATAATGGATAAGATACAGTTACAACTACATTAGAGAATATACTGAAATAGGCTTTCCACCATTATTACTTGCGACTGAAGGATTTTACTTGGAGACAATTGAAAAGCCTGACAGCTACATTAGCTGTAGTAGATGACAAGTCAGTATAGTTTGTCAGAAATATGGTGCACATGTATGGCTTCACGTTATTAAGAATCGTTCTTGGGTTTCATTAGAAACATTTACTCTGTTTCTTTGTGCAGCTCACATAAAAGAAATAATAAACTTGACAAAAATGTTGGTGATTGTTTTCTGTTGTCTGGTATTTAGAAATGGTATCAGAAAGTATTTATACCCTTCAATAGAAGAATTACATCTGTGTAAACAATTTGTTGCAGTTTCAAATGAGTTATGTTTCTCCATATTTTCACAATAAACAACACTATCAATTAAGTTTCTTTTAAATGTTTCGCACCCAGTTGTAATGATATTGAGAGAAATATTCAGGCTTTCATCTGTGAATTCTGGTCTTCTACCCACTGTTTTTCTTGTTGATTTAATTATTGTGAAATAATGAAGATCACATTATAGAATAAGATTTACTTCTTTTAAGTCTTGTCTCCAAGACTGTGTGAAAGCTATGATATCAATTTAAATTAACATGCCATTTCTGTTAGAAATAATTTTTTTTTAAATTACGCCTTTTTTGAATTAGCCTGTTTGTTTTGACTGTTCAAGGATTGGGTGATGGAGATTTGAGGGTTTTTGATTTTCTGTAAGGTTGTATTGCTTTTGTTTAAAGTGTATGTAAAATTGTCAAAGTGGTATTTTTTTGGGTTTTTTTTAAAACTGGTCACGTTACCATGGACAAGATTATTGGTCCTGTTTCATAAAGTGTAATATACTTACATACACATAAATTGATACAGCTCAAAGTTATATGTACATAAGTTATATGTAAATATAAAGTGACTGATGTAGGCTATTGTATATATATACAAAGGATTAAGTCACAGAAAACATTGAGTCAACTCCTATGCACGCACGAAAAATAGACGAAGAGAATGAAACTCGATAGTGCTTTTTGGCATATCTTATCGATACTATCGATTTATATCGATATTTTATCCAGCTCTACCGATGATATAGTAATACTTTCAACTCTCAATATGGCTACATGCCGATTTTTAAAATATTTTTAGTAGAATAAAAAATCGTACTAAAAAACGGTAGGCTACGATATGAATAATATCATAATTCATGACTTAAAATTTGGCCTTGGATTTTCAATTTTTGGCCTTGGATTTTCAATTTTTGGCCTTGGATTAAGGTTGCACTTTGGCCTTCGATTGAAAAAACGATTTTCGAGCCCTGCTCTCTTGTATTACACACATGGCCATAGAAAAAAAAATTAGGCTGGTTTCAAAATGACAAATTTCTGTTGTTTTCAGATGTGACAAAAAAAGTAATAATGTAAAGATTTATCATACATGTAGACCTATTTTGGTTTGACCACCACTACCATTCAGATTGATTATTTGCAAATCCTCCCAACTATTGAAAATGAGATGTATAATGTGTATGTAATAGAGTATAAGTGAAGTAATATAATGATATAATCAGTGTTTACCTAGTAATAAAATAGTAACTAGTTCACATTTATATTAACTAACTTAACACAGTCAACACACCAATCTAATTCATTCCACTATTTGTAAAACCTATCAAACAATGTTTTTACATACTTGCTAGAATTTCGATCACGTTTGGCGTTTACTTGTTTGTGTCTGTTTATATTGGCACAGAACTAAAAGCTTTTCACACATGGATTTCATTAGACTTTCAAAATGAAATTACCAAACAAATGCTTATCATTACCAAAATCCAGTCTAAAGCAATAATGGCATATTATTGTATAGTTTTTGAGGTAGATGTAGATTATATAGTTAATAGGAGAATACAAGTGTTACTTGACATGCTTAGAGTGTAGAATGATCTGACACAGATAGACCCCCCTCATAGTTTCTAATATAAATAATGGATAATGATGATATATGATATTATACTTACTTACCTCTAATAGTAATAGGTAATATATTTACCTGGTATATATATAAATAAATAGTTTATCTTCTCTTTCAACAATTACTATAATAATATACCATACATATATTCATTTCTCTTATCAGTTCTGTGTACAAGCATATATATTCTTATAATTATCACACAAGAAATGTTACTTTAGAAACCGTGAGATATGAGATAAGACTGGTGGCTATTTGCCCAGGTAGTAATTTTAAGAGAATAAAATACTCAGTACTGTAAGACTCTTATCTTTGTTTTTACAAAGTCTCTAAAATGTGCCAGCTTTCTTTATCAATCATTAAACAAAAACAATTTTAATCTAAAAAATGATTCAATTGTGTGTTTCTTGTTTTGGTCGAGAATTCTTCAGTATTTTCCGGTGTCATTTTCCCTTGTCAATGGTGTAGGATAAGAAGGTATGACAAGGAACATTGTCTAGTGATTCAGAAGGGACACAAAATGAGGTTTCCTGTTCAAATTGGCATGCACTTAAATTTCTTAAAAGAACCCTTGACAGTTGGAATTTGAAATAAGAGTAAGCTGTAGTGCCGCTGTCTGGGCAAAATTTCTCTCAAAGTACACTGCATTGTATATGCCCTTCTTCATTAGTCCAGGGGGGGTTGGATGGATAATGGTTAGCACGCGTGCGCTGTATCATACGATCTGTCATTGAGTCAACTGGCGGGGTTTCGATTCCCCGGTTGTACGTGACAAGGAGTAGGGTCGCCTGTCCAACCTCGTGGGTTTTCTCCGGGTTCTCCGGTTTCCTCCCACTGCTAAAGACCCCTACGCGCGAGCGAATTATTGAAATAAAATTAAACCATATGTTAGTCCCGAAATGACCCAGTTTGTGTCGAGCGCACGTTAAACCCCATTTCTCTCTCTCTCATTAGTCCAGTTGGTGGAGAAAAGTAGTCGTTAAACCCCATTTCGTTTCCATGTGGTTTACACTTGATAATGGTTGATTAGAGCCCAGTAATATTCACTTTGCATCTCATATAGAGGAGGTATTGTTATAATTTTAGAGAGATGATGATGAAGGAAGAATAAATCAACTAATGAGATATGATGAAGTATCTTGTAGTTAATAGATTAGTATAATTAATATGAGATATTACTATAATTTTAGAGAGATGATGATAGAAGAAGAAATCAGCTAATGAAGGATATGGCTCAACTAAGATTACAGGTAAATATTGATATATATATTCTTGGTCCTACTAATCACCAACAAGAACTCTTTTGTTTGACAAGATCGCCCAAAGTAGTGCCTATTGCAAAAAGTGACCGACAAGGAAACTTATGTTATGGATAATGGAAATATTAATAAAATTAAATTGGTCTTGCTAATATCACCGACAAGAGTATGGGGTTTGTCAATAGCGTCCAAAGTATTGCAAAAGTTATATCTAAAATTTAGATGATTTCATAAAAAATTGAAAAAATTAAGGATAATTGAAATTTTAACTGATTCTTGCATGCATTTTATAATGCAAGCAGTTTTTTATATTGAGATATATATCTTCAAAAAATATGAATGAACATAACTGTTATAGCGCTTTATCAATTCAATTTGAAGTAGGATCCTATGCTGTTTTATATAATTATCAACCATTTAAAGAAACTTACAGAAACCAGTGTTCTAATTAAATTTTCTAGAAAGGGAGCATAACACTTCAACATTTTACTCATCTTTAGTTGCTTGTTAAAGATAAATGTTTTACTGTTTGATCTTCAAACAGTAAAACATTTATCTTTAACAAGCAATGTATAGACTGGTGCTGTATAAAAGTAAGAGAGTACTGCTGAATCCTTTAATTTGTTATAAACTCCCAGCCCTACATGTATATTGAATTGGAGAAATAGTTTTCTGATGAAAATGTAAAAGTCTATTTCTTGATGAATGTAAATACTTAATAGGAGTAATGTTAAAAGATGAAGAGTATAGAATAAATACCTGTTATTTAGTTAGTAAGTAGATAAATAAAGACATTAGATATAAAAAGGGTGAAGAAAGTGGTATCATGTTTATATTTAGGCTGAAGTTAACCAATTAGAAGGCTCATTACAATCAGCAGATCAACCAACATTTCCACCATATTTGATACCTGACACATCTGTTCTATGTAACTCACTTGCTAGTATTAAACAATTAACACAGCAAGGTAGAAGTATAGTTATCATACCATTATCAGGTACGTAGGAATTTATTAAACATTCTACTTCTTTCTACACCTGTTTTTTTAGACGTCCTTTGCATTCCGATTAGTATCTGCCGTAACAGAGGCACTTGCAAGATTTCCAAAAGCAGGGCTACAAAATTTTGAATTACAAAGTGGATACCCGTCCATTTCTTTAATCCACATTAGTTTGGATGGTTTCTCAATCGTATCACTAACAGACTGCTGATTGCTTCACTTCCAAGTAAATGGTAGAAATTGACGTACTGCTTTTCTGAACCAAACAGGCAAATGAAGTGTGATATGAATGAAATTTTAGCCCAGACAGCTGCGTTTCTGTCTACTCCTCTTTGTATTCCAACTGCCACGTTATCTTTTATGTGGACGACAATGTGTACACAGAACCTTAGTTTTTTTTTTATCCTGTCCAAATAAAAAGGCACTTATCCTACTGGAAAAAATGATAGAAAGTTCAATATATGTTTTCAAACAAATTAAAGATACATTATGTAAGATTTAGATAGAGAGTTGACCGTTCTTGCTATAATAGTTCAATTGATTTTATTGCAAATTGAATATATTGAAAATTACATTTAAATTACTTTATTCTGAGCAAATATATTAGCCTTATAAGGTTTGACAAGATGTGTGCACTGATTGTAACCACTGTACTGATTGTTCGAATCTTAGCCTCGCTTCACTATTTTTAGATTAAATCATTTAATGGCTGAACTGTTCAAATCTACTTAAAATTGGGTCTAACCGATGTCATCGAGACTTGATTATGGTCTTGTCATGTTAATAAATGTCTAATTAATAGTTTATATAACATTTAAGTTCTAAAGAAAGAACTGCAGTAGGTTAATTTATCTCTTGCATAATGCCTGTTTAAATGAAGACAACATCAAAAGCCAATTTGCAAACAAAATGAAAGTTGAGTTAAACTAGTGATCCATATTGTAAATGAGACAAGTTGAAACAATGATAAGAAAATAAATAATTATATATATCTTATGATTTCAGTTATTGATAGTTTAGATTATATAAAGAAAGAAAACAGTGGATCAAGGGAAGCTATCAGATGGTTGGAAATAGAATTTAAAAAAGGCAACAGGTATGTAGGTATTTGTTATACATCTTATAAATAATGAGTTTCCCCTGCACAAAAACTGGACAATATAGAACACATACAAAAATAACTCTACTATATGATGTAACAACCATCATATGTGTTTATTAGTTATAGTGATTACTATCACTATTATACAAGTTGTTGGTGTGTATTGTAACCTTGTAGTATAAACAAACTTAATATAGTCACGTTGATCATTAAATTGACAGAGATAGGTGATCAATTATAAACTGCTGTCCTTTATTCATCAAAAAGTGAAATATGTAGATATCAGATATATCAGGCACAGATAAGTATTATTTTCCATGGACAGTAAAGAACATGCACCTTTTGTGAAGTGTGCATTTCAGGTTCTGAGCCTGGTATTAACATTACAAATGGTGACATTATAAGCCGGGGTGGCTCAGTGAATAAAAAGCTGGCTAGCTAAGCAGGAGGTCTTGGGTTCGCTCCTGGCATTGGACAAGAAAGTTCCTCAGGATTTTAGTTTACTTTCACTTTTACATGAATATAACTTATTAAATATATAATAAACGTTTAGTTAGTGATTATAAATAGGGAAACTAAGGTAAGGCATGACAATGACATATTATACCAATATGGCGGCATAATTATGAATATATTTGGAGATTTTTTCGATGGCGAGACACACTACACAGAACTTTTTATTGAAATTTATTTGAAATTAAGATTAAGATTGGTTTGCAATTTGGATACAGAACCCAATAGAATAAAATGTGACATTTTCTCTTTATGTTTGATGTTTTAGATATATACGAGCTCAGAAAAGTTCTGAAACTGCACCTGTCAGCAATGTTAGAATGTTGAAAAAGAAAAAAAGAGATCTATGGTAACTAGTTTAAAATCATTTAAAACTGCTTTTATCTGTAACAAATTGGATGGATGGGTGGGGCAAGTGGTCTAATACCTGCATTTTAGATCATTAGATCTGTCATTGAGCATGCTTTCCTTCCCAGTTTTGCATTTGACATGCAGTAGGATCACCTGCCCAAACTTATGGGTTTTTTCCTGGTCCTCCTCCCACTGTTAAAGACCCCTATATATGCAAGTGAATTATTGAAATATAATTGTACCATATGTAAGTCCTAAAATGATCTGGTTTATGTCAAATGGATGTTAGACCCCATTTCTCTCTCTCTCTCTTTTATATTATGTCTTCATGAGCCCAGTCGGTGCCAAAAAAAGGAGGATGTTAAACCCCATTTAATTTTCTTTTACCGTACCTATAGACATGTATATTATACAATATATACAATAGACTTATATAATGGTTATTTTAGGTGTATATTAGAACTAGCAGTTTGTGCTCAGTATTTTGCCCAACAGACAGGCTGCATATCAGGTGGTAATCTGGTAACAGTTTTAACAAGTCAGCCATTTACTATAGATAATCTCTCTACACCAATACAACAAGTTTTATCTACAACACAGCAACAAGGTAAATTATATACATGTATTTTACTCAGGGATGGCCAGCCTCCGGCGCATGACACATTGAATTATTAGAAGTGGCATATAGTCTCCCTGTGATAATGATCAAACTGTAATGGAACTTGATTCTGTGTCAATTGAATGTAAATCTATTGATTTGGAACATTCTGGAATCACAATCTAGTGCCCCTAGATTACCTGGAGGGTAGAAACCTTTAAAAGGTAATTTCAATTAACTTTTACAGGTATCTTGAGTTGTAGAATATTAAGGTATCAACTATCAAGTTGGCATCAGAACAGTAGGATATTAAACACCATTTCATTTCATTTCTATTTACACATACATCTGTCGTTGTACAACATTTTCCCTTACAAACAATTGTACAATTATTTTGATCAGATATGTATGTGCCTTAATTCAATTGTGTAAAAAGTATTTCCTTAAGACACAATAAATTTTAAATACCAGGAAGTTATTCTTTATATTTTTATCATATTTTATCCTAGCTAGACATAAAAATAAAAAAGCTATTGTGTAATTGTAGTTATGAAGAAAGGATGATCCTACTTTAAGCATGATTTATATGTAGGAAATAATAAAGGTGTTAAAAAAAAATTTAATTAATGAGTTTTCATGTTTCATGAACTCACTTTGGTCATTTTCAGACAAACAAAAATTTATTTGATAGCATCTAATCATTAGGGTTGTTCTAGAAGTATTAAATTTTACATATATAACAAAGTTTATTAAATATACATAATGTTTGTTAAAGATGTATATTTTGAGCATTGATACATACTGGTAATGTTTATTATTAAAGATGTATAATTTAAAGATATACATAATGCTTGTTTCAGGTGTGAGTTTTGAGAATATTAAAGAATTTACCACTAAATGGAAAGATATGTTCAAGAATAAAGGCTGAAAGAGACAGTTGACATGAACCAAGTGATGGGTTCCTGATCAATATATAGTAATCTGTATATGTATAACAAATGAGAACGTGATAACATCTATCTACATATAATACAGTATTGTGGAAATCTTTAATACCATCTCATGTTGATTATCATAATGATAATAACATGTTTTGAAGAAAGATAATTCCTATGGAAGATGAAGAAGATCAAAGGAAAATGATCGAAATGATAATCTGAAAGTATAAAAAAATATGTAAAAAATAGAAATTTATCTTAAGAGGAAACTAATTCTTTAAGACAAAAAAAAGTATGAATATATTAAATATATAATTTAAGACTGGAAAGCAAAATTGCAAAAAAAAAAATCACAAGAGACAGAAATACAAAAACATAACATCCTGACAGTATCATTAAAACTGAGCTGTGTTACAAAAACAGATGATTGTTTTTAACTTAAAACAAATTGAAAGCATCAGTAAATGTACTTCGTGAAGATATCACCAAGAATTAAAAGATAAACGATTAAAAAACACAAAACAAGCAACCACTTCTAAAACAAATCTGTGCTAATTCTGATACAAAAATAGAGAGAAGAAAAGTTGTACACCTGTAAGAAATACTAATTAATTTGAGTTTTCATTCACCAAAGTTATGTAAGAAATTGTGAAGTTATATTCTTTACTGTTTGGACAAATGTAAACAATTTATAAGGTGAACGCAGTAGTTAGCATTAAGGTTATGCCATGAAAATATTGAGAGAATATTATTCTGAAAAAGCTGTTTACAATATCCTTTGTTATAGACATAAATAGAATTACAGTTTTTTTTATAAAAAGTAAATTATTACATACATGTTTTTTAAAATAACAAATAAAATTGACCGCACCTCTCTTATTTAATAGAAAAAGTTAAAAACCAGAAAAAATTTAGATATACACATGTAGACCAGTTATTATTACTGATATTTTCGATTTAAGGCATTATTTAATCAATGGTAAGAAATATTGTCAAAATATTAATTATTGCAACAAAAAAGCAACTGTTGGTTATTAGTTGCTATGAAAGAAAATGCAAAGCCTAGCACACAGATGACGATTTTTATACGCCCACATATTCATGTTAACGTATTATGCCATCACCCCTGTCCGTCCATCCACAATTTGTTTGTTGACACTCTGGTCACAATTTTTATCTGACGAAACTTGAAATGTAGGTCTATCTCCCAAAGATCTTGGTTACTTTCGATATGTATTGGACCATAATTTCATGGATTATGGCCCCTGATTGTATGAAAAATCACGTTTTTAGCTTGTGGACACTCCAGAGGTCACCATTTTTTATCTAATTTTGATGACCCAAAGATCTCGGTTCCTTTCGATATTTGCGTATATCGGACCATAACTTCATGGACTATGGCCCCTGATTGTATGAAAAATCACGTTTTTAGCTTGTGCATGGACACTGTAGAGGTCAGAATTTTTTATTTGATTTTGATGAAACTTGAAATGCATGTTTATAACCCAAAGATCTTTGTTCCTTTCGATATATGCGCATTTTGGATACTTCTTGATTTATGGCCCTTGATTGTATGAGAAATCAGGTTTTTAGTTTGTGGTCCCTCTAGAGGTCACAATTTTTTATCCGATTTAAAAAAAAACGTTTGAATATATCACCGTTACACCATAATGATGGTTGAGCTCGAATTTTGTGAGAATCGGACCTAAACTGCTTGAAAAAAATAGCGTACGCAAATAGTGTAAAAAAAATATGGTATATCAAGGTTGTGGACCCTCTAGAGGTCACAATTTTGATATGATTTTGATGAAACTTGAAATACATATTTATAACCTAAAGATCTTGGTTGCCACTAGAACTCACAAAAGTTTAAATAGAGGTCATAATTTTTATCTGATTTTAGAAAATGTTTAAGTATATCACCGTTACACCATAATGATGGTTGAGTTCAAATTTCGTAAAAATCTGATTGCAAATGGCTGTTACTTTTACGCAAATAATGTAAAAGTATGTAATACCAAGGTTGTGGACCCTCTAGAGGTCACAATATTTACCTTAGTTTGATGAAACTTAAAATATGTTTATATCCGAAGATCAAGGTTCCTGTAGATATTCACACATATCTGACCCTAACTTCCTGGATTATGGCCCCTGATTGTATGGAAAATTGCTTCCTTTTTTGAGCTTTATGTGGGCATATCTTGCAGGGCAACCGCTTGTTGAAGCAACAAATAATTGTTAGTTAACCTGTGATGCTGTCGAAATCACGGTAATGTGTGTATATGTACAACAAATTTATATTTTCTGGTTGTTTGGGTACATTTTGAAATAGACGTTTTATAACAGCATAATAGTACATTAATTGCTCATGACTTCTATTGGAGTTCCTAATGAAGATTAAAAAATATTAGGGATATGATGTGACATGTCGATTCAAACTGGTTCACAGTGAATTTCACGCATTATTGCTGAGAATGTGATTATGTATGGGATAAACTGCATTCGATTAAAATTGTCATTTCATTCGAGTTGGCTGTATCATAAAGTCTGTCATTGAGTCGACTGGCGTGGTTTCGAATCCCCGGTTGTACGTGACAAGGAGTAGGGTCGCCTGTCCAACCTCGTGGGTTTTCTCCAGGTCCTCCGGTTTCCTCCCACTGCTAAAGACCCCTACGCGCAAGCGAATTATTGAAATAAACTTAAACCATATGTTAGTCCCGAAATGACCTAGTTTGTGTCGAGTGGACGTTAAACCCCATTTCTCTCTCTCTCTCTCATTTGAGTTGGTAGAACTTTGATGATTTACTAGTTTTAATTTCGTATAAACTTCCCTGGTTGAAAACAAGTTCAACTAAATCTCAACATGGGTTCAACCAACAGGATACCTAACCTGCCGGCATAAAATTTTACATGTAGAAAGATAACTCTTACAAAACAATTGATCAACACATTCATTTTGCATCCAAGACAATTGATCACATCAATTAGATCAAATCATCCAAAACATTGCCTTTTAAAATCACTGCTTTTATTTTAGTGATAAATAAAATTGACTATTTAATTAATTGGATATACATGTATGATTTATTTTGTGAACTGTCTACATTTGAAATTCTAGATCAACAGTTGACCACCTTATTGGTTCAGATATCATGAAGGTGAAAGGATTAAATTCGAAAATAGAAGTTATTGCTAAATGATAGTTAGGACTGGATAATCATGGCTTGATGATGCCTATTCTCAGATAAATCCGTCAACAGTATGTGCCTACTGTAGATCATAAGGTCTGTCATTGAGTCAACCTCTGGGGTCATCTCTGAGTTCCTCCCACTGCTATAGACCCCTACATGCAAACAAATTATTTAATCTTACCATAGTTTATGTGAGTGGATGTTAAACCCTATTTCTCAGGGGGGGGGGGGGAACCTCCCTCTCTCCCTCTCCCAATCCCCTCTGGTAATCATGTTGATTTACCTATAGCGATAGAGATATCAGTTTTATGGACTTATATTCTATATAGTAGGTAGTCAACAGTTAAAACAATTAAAATTAAAATATTTATTTTCTGAAATGACTATTTAATCAGATGTAGTTTTGCCTATCACTGATTGAATTAACGTAATTCTACTCTTAATTTTACCCTAAATAAAATGGGTTTGACTCCTTTTAAAGAGGAATTAGCACTTGAGAGTTCTAAATGTGGATGTGATCTAACAAGACAGGTATATCAGGGATGTTCAGAGTAGAGTGTATGTCTTTTAAGATTCCTTATGTATCATACACAGTATATCATTTGGTGGTTTTCAACAAGTTCAGTGGCTGCTCATACAAAATACTTTAACTAATATGATATAACAAATTAATTAATTTATTTTCTTGCTGAAAGTGATAAAGTAAATGTATAATTGAGTTAACTCAATTTAGTCAAAAAATATACTTTTATTTATTGTTAGACTTTGATAGTTTCACCATGTTATATTTTCAGTGAGCTTTTTTTCCACAATGTTTTTTTTTACGTTATATCCATAAGATAATAAATGTCCCCCGCCCTTTTCTAATTGAAATTGATTGTTCAAACTTGATGTAGCTGTTTATTAGTGCCTTGATTAAGTTTGATGATGGGCATTTCTTACTAGGCTAAGCAATTTGATGGTCAGTGCTCTGTGACATTGGTCGAGACACTGGAGGGCGATAATTGTAATTTTAACTGAGTGGTAGTAGTATATAGTTTCATTACTTCAATACCTTGACAAAATTTGATGTTGGACATTTTCTGCTTAGTCTATGAAGCGTTAAACAATTGCATAGGCCAAGACTTTGAATCACAATAACTCGGCATCTAGAATATTCAAACTTGGCGTAGTTGATCATTATAGGGAATGTCTTGACAAAGCCTAAGCAGAGATAAGAAATTTGATTGATCGATGTTGTGGGACATTGTAACTTTGATTTCAATTGAGTGAAAGTGATGAAACTTGATGTAGGCCTATAGTTTCCCTTAAACAAAACCATGACTAATTTCAACCATTAGCATTTTATGCTTAGGCTAAGTTTGATTGCTCAGTGCTTACAAAAAGATAAATGTTTGATTATTATGTGTCATCTATTTATAATTTTGGGAATGAGCTGAGGGACATCAGCCTTAGGCTTATTTTTTTATAATCTGAAACCTGTATTTAAAAAAAACAAAATAATCATATTTTTATACGCCCACATTGAAATGTGGTCGTATATTGTCGTCGCCCTCATCTGTCTGTCCGGCGTCCACAATAGAACCTAAAGTTAATATCCGATTGACTTTAATATACAGTGTTTAAGGCCATGAGACAAAGAAGCCTATTGATTTTCAGCGATTTCCGATAATAACTGAGAGAGTTATGGCCCTTGATCACTTCAGAAAATCTTGTGGACGCTATAGAGGCTAAAGTTAATATCCAATTGACTTTAAATTTATACACAATGTTTAAGGTCATGAGACGAAGAAGCCTATTGATTTTCAGCAATTTACGATAATTACTGCCAGAGTTATGGCCCTTGATCACTTTGAAAAATCTTGTGGACGCTCTAGAGGCTAAAATTAATATCCGATTGACTTTAAATATATACACAGTGTTCAAGGTCATGAGACAAAGAAGTCTATTCATTTTCAGTGATTTCCGATAATTACTGTCAGAGTTATGGCCCTTGATCACTTCAAAAAATCGTGTGGATGCTCTAGAGGCTAAAGTTAGTATCCGATTGACTTTAAATTTATAAACAGTGTTTGAGGTCATGAGACGAAGAATCCTATTTTCAACGATTTCCGATAATTACTGCCAGAGTTATGGCCCTTGATCACTTTGAAAAATCTTGTGACGCTCTAGAGGCTAAAGTTATCATCCGATTGACTTCAGATTGTTTCACAGAGTTTAAGATCTTGAGACGAACGAGTATATTGATTTTCATTGAATTTTTATGACATGAACAGCTAAATCTATGATATTAAAAGTTTTTATACTAAACGTTAGCATGGGGCAGAACTTTATAAAAACCAAACAAATTCTAATGGTTTTCTGATAATTACTTCATGAGTTGTTACTCTTTATCAGATTATAGTGTATTATAATTGTTTCATTACCGAAAAAAGTGAAAATATGCGACAACACTTGTTGACTGCCCGGACGATTTAGCTGCTGTGGGCGTATGTTTTGTTGCCTGGCAACCTATCTTTCTTTGCTTTTGTTGTTCTTGCAAAATAAAACTAGATTTGTTTTTAATATATGACCGGTATATTATATTGTTGATTTTGATTTATCTTCAGATAAATAAAGGTAATTCAGTTATTGGTATTTGTTGCTATCTTTTAACCATATTTACTTATTTATTAAATTTTCTTGGGCCTACACAGGAATTCCCAGCCTTATACTTTCATGTGCCAAATATTAAGCTTCAAAATATTTAAATAAAGAAAAGGTGTTAACACTAGTAACAGGGATAAAGACATTAGTTACTTTAATCTTGACCTCTGTGGTCCAAACGACGGACTACCTAGAAAAAAGTATGTGATATCACTTTGTTTTGTTAGAGAGAGTCGAAAATTACCGACAGTTTAAGAAAGTCTCAATGGTCTTTTTATATCAGACAGATCATTATTATCATGAGGTGCAGTTTGCCGCCAGGAATGGCCAGTAAATAGTACTAAGAAATTGGAGAAATAAAGTCAGTTTGTTGGACACAGCTCACCAAATATTCCTACGTCGTCACCCACGGATGAAGGGTGAGAATTAACATAGTCAATGGGGAAATCATTAGTGGTCTCTAGCCGTTTGGTAGGGTCGATATACAAGAGTTACTTCCCCTCGTCCACTCATTATAGAATTACATTCGGCAATCAACTGAAACCTTCTCAAATATCATGAAAGGCACATACTATTCGGATTAGAATTGTATAAGCACGAACAGCGGTTAAATTAAAAATAGCCCAGGCTTAAGAAATAAGATGTAGAGTTTAAACCTAATTCTGATTATCACTGAAGATATTCCTGTGCTACAGCTGTTCCAAACTAGCGTGGATAGTCGCGAGCAGTTGTCTCTATTTATGTCCCGAACAATAAAGGGCGTAAACTTCTATTCTTTTGGACTTTTAAAATAGAAGCCAACGCTAGTAATATGAATTGTATATTAAAGATACAGTATGTAAGATTTGGATAAAGAGCTGTCCGTTCTTGCTATAACAGTTCAAAAATAGATAATGAAAAATAAATATATTGAAAATTCCAATCAAATTACTTTATTTTGAGCGAAGTTACGAGTGTTTGATGTTTTGACAAGATAGTCTCGAGGGTCAATTACCATTGCTATCATAGGAAAGTCTCGATTATCCATTTTAACGTTAAATTATTAAATGGCGTACGTGCTCTAATCCTTTCAATATCTAAGACATCCGTTAGCCTAGAGAGTTGGTTATGGGCTTGCCATGCGAATAAATTGAACAACTTGTTAGTCCCAAAATGACCTAGTTTGTGTCGAGTGGACTTTTATTCCCCTTTCTCCCCCACTCTCATAATGCTACACCAATTTGATTTTCTGTTCTGCGAGAACACCAGTTAAAATCTGCATTTTAGTTCAAGTTTTTAAATTTTATACAAAACATTTCTCACGTGATTCAAGAGGTTATTTATTTATTAAGACCCCGAAGAACAGAAAATCAAATTTGTTTGGCCTTAAAAATTGGTTTGGCCTTATTGTATAATTGAGGCAGTCTCGAGTGCAATTGATTGATGTCGCGCAAAGCAGAGCATACCCTTTTCTATACATTACCACTTTGTAACTTTTGTTGATGGACTTCGAATTTCAAACACGTTGGGTGCTGTATATTATTTATTCATAATTAATTAATGAATGTTGGTAAATCCTTAAAATAAAAACACCAGTTATGCTTTTTCATATTGACTACAAAGGTATGACTACAACGCTACAACAAATATTTACCATAAAGCCGAGTGACATTGGTTGGGCGCCCATGACGAGATTGACGGGGCGCCCAACCATTGTCGCTTGGTTTTATGGGCGCCTTGTCAATCTTGTTATATATGGGGCGCCCCCATTGATCAAGTCGCGGGCGCCCAACTAATCTCGCTCTGCATTATGTGCGGCCCGACAATCATATATTGTCATTTAATCTGATTAAAACACAGATACTATTTCGTTTCTTTTTTTTATAGTTCAAAATTTCGTTTTACTTGTTTTTACTACACTAGGATCTGGAAGAGTTGTTATCATTGACATGTTCTAGATGAAGTGAGGGATAAGCTAATAAAACGGTCGTGCCATGAAAAGTTCCACCAAAATTGTTTATACACAATATCTTGACTAAAAATTCTATGACATTAAAGGAGCCAAATCCCTATTCTTCGGCACCTAGAAATGGACACAAATGGGTCGCAACGCATAATAATGTAATATGAATGCATATAAACTGATTTACATTCAATCGTTTCTGATTTACTGTAATTTGTCATCAGTTATGATCGAAATACGCGATGAGTCCACATTGAATGGCAGTCTTTGGCGTCTGGTTATTCTACATCGTTAGTATTCTCCCGTGAGATATGTTTAGCCTCGTTCATTGAGTCGCTTCATTACAAATGAAAGCATTCTGGTACGCGATTCGTGTGCCAATTCTAAAATTTTCATTTTGTCTTAATTATAGGATATCAGAAGCCCATCTTTTCACGGTAAGATAACAACGTCAATGTTGATTTAAATTGACCAATAAGTCTTGTTTGCAATGTCGAAGACTGGATGATATTGCGTTAAAGTCTTGCAAACTGTTCTTGGTCCCTTCTGCCGTCTAGACACATTCACAGCGAAATTCTGTTGATGACAAACAGTGACTTGTTCGGAAGGGACGATAATAAATTAAGACCAAAGCATTGTGTTTACTAGACCTATTGAGCAAAGATTGATTATAAACGCATTCCACGCTGAAAAAAACAAATATTGAAGAAAAAAACATTGAATACAAAATCATCAATTAGAAATATTTATAATTCAAAACTAAAGAATGGATCAAACGAAACGAACAATTAAAAATGATGATAAAGAACAATATTGATCGGAGAGTTTGATTAAGGTCGTGTTTCGCTCCTAAACTGATTTATATTGAAGTAAAGATGCCCCAAGCTGTAGACATGTGCTTGAAAGTAAATAACAGGCTATAAGTGTTTACTTTTAACGGGTCAGCCAATATTGACTTTGATGTTGAGCGGATTATATAAACATTGGTATATTAATAACAATCAGTGTATAATAACGACAAGAAATTCTGTCAATATTGTTAATGACGGTGGGACCTTTATAATGGGAAAGAACAGGGCAATAATAAAGTTTTAAAATAACTTTTAAAAAAACATTATAATTGCACATCCATGACTGTTTGACCTATAATAACCTTCTTTATAACCAAAACGAAATGGAATCAATTTTTCGCCTAGTTATTAGAATGTTTTCCGTTTGGGTTCATCTGAATGGTCGGTTGCTTAATGCATTTCAATAACCTAAATCAGATTTCATGGCCATGATGTACAATATAATGGAAGACAATGGTTATAAATTAAAGAGGTTTTATACGAGATCTATATCTTCCCATTACAGGTCGGTTTTTTCCTGGCTTTTAATGTTATACATGTATATTAAACGTATTCATTTGGATTAAAAGTATTTCAAATTTAATACAAATTTAATTGCATCCGCTTTCTAAAACCCGATAAACATAGCTATTCATAACTTTGCCCAGAATAAAGTAATTTGACTGAAATTTTCAATATATTAATTCAGTATCGATTAAGCTGTTTAAACGGCATTTAGTAATTGAACACATTAAAATAAACTCAACAGTTCTATGGATAACAATTACTGTATTTTAATCGCAGCTATGTTTCTACAATGAGTCTCTTGTCGTCTATAGCAAGAACGACCCGGTATCTAAACTTCGCACCTAGGCCTACTGGGTTAGGTCTAATTTAATATTAAGGCCAACTGCGGATTTGGTCAAAGGTCACGAGATGTAAACAGGACTAGCGCTAACCCCGACCCCAGACCTAGCCCTAACCCACTATTTCGTCAACAATCACGTGTTTATAACCCAAAGTTCTTGGTTTCTTTCAATATTCGCGCATATCGAATCGTAACTTCCTGAATTATGGCCCTTGATTTTACGAAAAATCGCGTTTTTAGCTTGTGGTCCCTCTAGCGGTTACAATTTTTATCCAATTTTTTTATTAAAAAAAAACGTTTAAATATATCACCGTTACACCCTTTATGATGGTAGAGTTCGAATTTTGTGAAATCGGACCAAAACTACCGGACAAAATGGCCGCCCCTCGTGCGCCAATGGCGCAAATATTATATGGTATATCAATGTTGTGGGTCCTCTAGAGGCCACAGTTTTGATCCGACTTTGATGAACTTTACATTTATGTTTATATCACAAATATCTCAGCCCCTTTCGATATTTGCGCATTGCAGACCATAACTTCCTGGATTATTGCTGTTCTGTTATCCATCTCTTGGAAAATGTGGGCGTATCTTGCCTGGCAACCGCTGGTTTATTATTTATATCGTTAGCCTGCTGGGAAAAGATTGACGAAGGTGTCAATAGGGATGAGTTAAAAAAAAATAGCTAAAATTTAGTTGTGTGTCTTAATAAATACAGAGACATGAACAACAATTCATAAGTTTTGGAATCAGTGGACTTTAGCTTGTATTAGTCCTAGACTAGATATATACTAGTGGTACCGGACTTAAGCGATGCCATCAATACAGACGAGACTCGATCGATATTTTCTATCGCATTGTATACTATTTCCACACTGTGTTTCCTCCACTATGTACAGACAATATTGTTTATCTATTGAAACGTTACATCAGTGTCAAACTGACCAGTCTGCCCCAGTTACGTTATTAAAAACATAACACAACCAACATATAACTGTCTTTACGTGTCAGCAGACACTTTTGAGAGCGCGATGGAATTTAAGCCAAATTGCCTTGGTATCTAGATGTTAGGGGTAGTGCTCAAACTTAAACGAGACGAGGCCAGGGAGAAAAAAATCCTCTATTGTCAAATTGGTATTTCGCCACCGGTATATCTGGGTTGCTTTTCAGCAAGGGCGTCTGCAAATTAAATTGACTGCATTAAATACGAATACGTACCAATTTGAATGCTGAATAGCAAGCCCAAACATATTGGGTGTGTGTGTGTGTGGGGGGGGGGGTCTTGTTAGGGCACCGATGTACCTACACTTGACGGTCCACGGTGCTCTCCTCCAGAAAATTTTGG